TTTTTCTTTTTACTTATCATCCTTGGTTTTTATACTACGGCAGTTATATTAACCAATATTATTATATATCAATGATTCTTTTTAGAATAATTCTAATATGGATTATATGTTTAAAATTATCATCCATCCGTTCGTTCAAAAATATCAAGTTAGTATCTATATACGAAAATTGAAAATTGATGTAATTTAGTTCTTATTTATAAAAATAATAATATAATATAATCCTTTTGGTTAAATGTTTTTAAAACAGATGAATAATTTTTCAACAATATTGATCCTAAGGTTATGTTAATCATCTCAACAAACAAACTATTTTTATTAACAATTTCAATTAAAAATCTTTAATATGTTTCAAGAAATTCTTTCACAATTTATTAATTAAATTGTATTAATCTCACTCAATTTCAGACTAAATAAAATTGAAAAATCGACGAAAATAAAAATAAAATAACTAATAACTTTTTTTTTAATGTTGGAAGTGCTTACTCCTTGTTTTATCCTAATATACTTTTGTTTCCAAAGTTTTCTTAAACTCTACTAAATGTTGAAAAAGTGAAGGAGATTCAGTTATCCGAAGAAAGGTGCTTCTTTACGCACCTCCGTAGTTTCTTTCTGGAAGTTTTTGCAAAGTTTCCTTAAAGTCTAATAAATGTTTGGAAAAACTTTCTGACAAATACTTTTAAAGAAAAAATTAAATAAATAACAAGAAAAAGATTAATGAGTTTTTTCATACAAATTAAAGTTTTTTTTTCTTATATATTTGTTTATAAAAATTTCTCATGTAGTTTTTCTAAATTCTTATTTTTAATTTGTTAATAAGTTAGTTTTGGTTTGTAAATGAAAAGAGATTATCTATTAGTATATTTACAAAAGATTTAATTAGGATTGTTAAAACGAATTGTTCAAGCACACATTTCAGTTTACTCATTCATGATGGACATTATCAAATTCATTTGGTACAACTCTTAAGCATTAAACATACATGCATATAATCAACCGAATTAGGATTCAAAGAATATTTCAAAGACAAAGTAATTGGAGTTTTCTATATATCCTTCATTATTTTCATTATTTATGGACAATGTAATTGAATAAGGATTTCATAACTGTTATCTTTAGAAATAAATATACCAATTTAATTATTGAGATTTTTGAAAAGTACGTTCTTGCTATCATAAAAGATTGAAATTTTATCGGTTTTAGTGTTACAATAATAACAATAATAATAAGGGTTAAATATGTTTTTGTCCTTAAACTATTACGCGATTTTGGTTTTCGTTCCTCTTCGAGACTTTGATCCATTTTCATTCTTCTCCTCTCAAAAGGTCCCAAATTTAGTCCTCCATGACCAACTGTATTAATTTTTATCTTAGGTGTCTAAGAGTGTGTCACGTCACTTTTCCTTTTTCTGTCAACCTTCCCTCCCTGGTCTCTTTACATGGGGAGTCTTCTCTCCTTTCCTTATTCAACTGCCTCATCCTCTTCATCACCACACAAGTATTTTTGTCATCCCTCCTCTTGTTCTCCTTCCTCTCACTCATGCTCACCACCTACCCCTCCATAGCCTCCTCCTTGTTGCTGCTCCTACTCACCGCCATGAACTCCACTCGCGGCTTTCGCATAAAAAACAGAAATAACAACATCGTCATGATAGTTTAATAATAACAATAAAAACAATAACAACAATAACGATAACAAGATAACAATAACGATAAAATAACAATAATAATAATAACAATAATAATAATAACGATAATAATAATAATAATTAACAACAACTACAACAACAATACACAACACTCCAAAATAAATCATAATTCAACTTGATTTCAAAATAAAATTCACAATAAAATTATTTATTTATAATAAATCCATAAATTCCCCAATTCTCTCAATTCCCTCCTCGTGCTAAATCGCTTCCGAATTTTCTAAACCATCATTTGCTCCCGTATAATGATCATCACAGGTGGAAACCATAATCACAAACATAGGGGTGAGCTAATCGAGGATCAATCATAATAAGCATAACAATATAACTAATAAATGTTAAACATTCATCACAATAAGAAACACATCAATAACACAACAACAACTTAAACACGATCACTCATTATCATCACAACCAGTGGTCCATTTCCCGTACACTACCATACCAGTTAATCATCATAATCAATTCAGTACGAGTCACACGACACCCTCTTCTCGTACCACACGACCAAAGAGAACTTTCTTCCCGCATCACACGGCCAAAAGAGTCATTAGTACTCGAACCATCCTCTTCCCCGCATCACACGACCGAAGAGAACCCCTTTCCCACATCGTATAGTCGAAAGAGTTATCCAACTCTTGAATTCATCCTATTCTCACATCACACGACCGAAAATAATTTCTTTCCCGCATAGCACGGCTGAAAGAGTCACATATACTCAAATCATATTGTCCAACAATCTTACTCAAAAATTAATTCTCCCATAGAAACTTTTTCTTAACAATCCTCAAATAATTATCAACATAACAAAGTCAAACCAAAAAATAAATATTTGACTTTATACTAAACGAACCCTTTTTTTTTCTCACTTACACCCATAATGAGGTGTGAATCCCTTCTCTTTTTAAAGTGGATCCCACGTTGACCCCATGTGGACCACCACTCTCTCTTAGTTTTTCAAAGCCCACATATGCTTAATTATAAAAGATTGTTTCTCCCTGTACCTCCACACATTTCTCCCTACACCTTCACATTCCAAAAATAACCTTGGGATTACATTTTTCTTCAATGAATTTCAAGCTTTCAAAAAATTCTTCAACGGATTTCGAAATCCGTTAAAGAAAAAATCCTTTAACGGATTTCAAAATCCATTAAAGAAAAAATCCTTTAACGGATTTCAAAATCCATTAAAGGATTTTTTAAAGGTTTCAACAGATTTTGAAATTCGTTGAAACACAAAAAGTGGGATGTTGGGTTTTTTGAATTGCAAAGAATGGTTTTGGAATTTTGAAAAGATGAGGGGGTACAAGGAGAAATGTGTGGAGGTGCAAGGAGAAAGATAGAGTTGATAGATTTAGAGGATTTAAGAGTAAATTAGATGTTATTTTTTTAAATAGATTTGGAAGTGATTGAAAGTGAATTTTGAAAATAAATTTTATAAAAGTTTGTGTAGGATTTGACTTATAGATAAAAAAAATATTTTATTTAATAAAAATTAAAGAATATCTAAATGCTTTAGTGATAAAAATAATATAAAATAATATTTATTAATAACATAGTAATGTTAGTATATTGATATGGTAAAATGAATTGTAAAGGATACACGAGAGTGAGAGAGGTAAAGAATTCATGTTCATCTTGGCTCAAGTGAATCAGTGGTCTCGCTAAATATTACAAAGAGATAGACAATAGAATGGATATTAAATATCAGAATAATATAAATAAAGTAGTTATTTGTAAAATGTTTTAATATATAAAAATGTTGAATAAGAACACTTCTAGTGAGAAAAATATGATCATCGATGATAAACAAGGATAACACTTTCCCATGAGCATCCAGATACCATATTACAATTAAACAACACTTCATGATACAGTCATCTTTCCCAATACCACAAGACATCATCTTCAAGTAAAATAAAATAATATTGTGCAATAATCTAAAATTTTAATTTAATAGAGACATAAATTTTCAAGAATCTTCTTAGCAAATTCACACTAATGTTGCGTTTGCTTGAGAGGAAAACATTGTGGAAATGTATTTGCACAAACAGATTGGACGTTAAAATTGCGTTCACTTGAGTGAATTTTGTTGATTCCAGTGTGTGTTTGTTGATTTTGAAATGCTAACTGGGTTCAATGATTCTAGTTTCTTTTTCCAATGTTATCTTACTAATGTTTAGAAATTAGAAGTAGAGTTATCTTCACACTCTGTTCGTTTGGAAAGAAAATATTGTTAAAAGAAATTGGAAGAGACGAATTTGAGAGGTTAATTGCATTCGGATCAACAAATTTGGAAAGAACAATTAACGTTAATTTGCGAGATAAAGTACTTTTTCCATCTTGCGGATGCCATGCGATTTGAAGGTAATTATGGTGAAATTTTTTTTCTACCTTTGATAAAAAAAAGTGATTGAACACGTATTAAGGGCAGAAACGTTGCAGGAGTATGGTGACACTCTTTGTTACTATGCACTTGCACGCAACCGATCGGTATCTATCAGCTTCTCAGCCGGTCGGTCTCGGCAAGCCTCTTGTCATTCGGTCTCGACAGTTGTTGAGCAGATTTAATGCACAAATAAATGTGATAACGGCTACAGTTAAACAATTAAGGTTTGCATTAATGACCATTAAGAGGTAAATTAATTTAGATTCCTTTAAACTCTATAAATAAGGGTTAGGTTTGAGGTAAAGTCAGATTCAACTCATACTACAATACGTCCTGTTAGGACTTCAATATCTAACTGTAACAAACAGTTCATAAAACCACTCCTAACTTGAGCGTCAGAGTGTCTTTTGCAAGTACCTCCCCTCTTTTATAACCGAGTGGCCAATATTGAAGGTGACCGATCGGTCTAAACTGGAAGAAGACAAGCGAAGCACACCAGTCGAAGGTTAGTGTCTCGGTCTCACAATTCACACCGAAACATTTTGGCGCCCACCGTGGGGTCGAGAGCAAGCTGAAGACACCCAATGGTGACCACAAGAAATATGGGGGAGCAGAGCACCAGAGATTTAATAAGAGAGTTACAAGCCCAGATTGAGACACAGGCGCAGACTATACAAGCGTAGGCGCATGCGCAGCAAGAGATGCAGCGGAGGCATGAGGAGGAGATGAGGGCGCTAAGGGCCGAACCCTCCCGAGCGGTCCGCCTCGAATCGGGAGAATGCTAATGAGGCAAGTCATAATCACGTCAACCCGAACGGTCGGGCTAGAAGGGAACCAACACCCCTGCAGACCGTTCGGCCTACCAGTTTATTGCCCTTCACGGCGACCATCATGCAAACCCCAATGCCAGAAAAGACTCCCCCCGTGTTGGATAAGTATGATGGTTCGGCTGATCCGGATAATCACTTAAGGACGTTCGGTAATGCAATGGCATTTTATACAGACAGCGACCCGGTCATGTGTAGAGCCTTCTCGTTATCACTTAAGGAAGAGGCATTGGAATGGTATAACACTCTTCCTCCCAACACAGTGGATTGCTTCTCTACTGTGGAAAACCTCTTTAGGAGACAATACGCAACCAATCGGAAACAAGAGGTAACACCGGCGGATTTGGTAAATACTAAGCAGGAGAAAGGAGAAACTTTGAAGGCTTTTATGAAGAGGTATACTGAAACCGCACGACGGGTTAGAGAGATAGATCAATCTTTTATTATCAATAATTTGCCTTCGTGTATGAGACCAGGATATTTTGCGGAAAAATTGTATGCACGACCGCCAAAAACTATGGAGGAGCTATAGGAGCGAGCAGCTGAGTTCATTCGTATGGAGGAAATGTGATTGTCACAAAGGAAACGACAGCAAGAGGCTAATGTGGGCGGAAGTAGAAAGGACGGCAAACGACCGTTCGACAATAACGATAAGAATAGGGAGTTTCCCCGGCCATTCAAGTTTCACCATTATACAACCCTCAATGCACCTAGGGCAGAAGTTCTCGAAGAAGCCCTTAGCGCAGAACTTCTCACACCCCGAAGGAAACCATCTCCAAGAAACGCAGATGAAAGGAAGAGTTGCCGGTACCATCAAAACCATGGACATACTACAGAAGACTGCATCACGTTAAAAAATGAAATAGAAAATCTTATCCGGGCGGGACATCTCCGTAGGTTTATAAAGGAAGCAAGATACAGCCTCCCCAAGGAAGGATATTCGCGAAGAAGTCCCGAGCGGGCAAATAGGAAAGACGAGCGAGGGCGGGGCTATAGTCGCAGTCCCAGTCGTCATCGGGAACGGTCGGTTCGTGGATTTATCAACTAAGGAGAAACCTCCAAAACTCTATTATTGTCATGGTTAAATTTAGTTTCACTTGATTTAGACTTTTGTTATTGTCCTACGCTTTCATTA